TGGATACTATGTTGCTGTGTCCAGAGTGTGGCGACATTGACATCGGAATTCATTATATTACTCTTATTGGAATGGTATCTTGCTGCATTGCGCTCTCCTTAATAATCGCCTATCATCCTACTTCTCCAAAAACAGCTAACAATTTTATCAGTCAAAGAAACTGTTCACGCGAATCCCCCTTTCATCCTGCTCCTCCAAAAATGTTTGCATCACTAAAGTTTTTCTCATATCATAAGTTCGCAATGAAATTTATAGTCTTTTTAGGAGAAACAAATTGTACTACGTTGAGGGGAATATTAACCTGTGTACTTCCACTTGAGTTAAAGTTTCATGTAAAAATGAAGTTAGTTATTTATATCCTTTACAAAGTATCACCGACTTGTACGATTGTTTTTCATGTTAATGATTTTTTGCACAACCTACGATTGTAATTCATCTTCTTCTGTTTGTTTATCCTCCTTTGTCCACTTTGATATTCATAAGACTATTCAATGTGTGAAATTTGTGGGTTCTCTGCACGTCACGTGTTGCGCTTTGCACTTCGAATGGTGTTACATGCATTATTACACAAAATGCCTTCATAGCAATTGTACTACATATGAGAGGTTATGCTCCATTACCACATCATGGCGCTTCACTCTAACTTTTTTTTAATGTCACTTCACACTTAACATCCAAATCTATACCTATCTCTATGTAATTTTATCCTAATTGTCATCATGAACAATAATGCGACTGTCACAAGACAATGATGGATTGTTATCAGCACCAAATGCAACTAGGTCGTACATAGCGCATATGAATAATGGGAGTCGATACAAAACAATCACCATCATGCCTGCTAGACTAGTGAGAACAACTCCAACTGTTAGCGAAGCATGTATAGACGAGGGAAATGCTTGTGCGTAGATAACAAATAAATAACGATGGATTGTTACCATCATCGAATGCAATTATCTCATATCAAACACATAAGAGTAATGAGAGTCATGATGAAGGTAATCATTATCTGACCATCAAACAAAAAAAGTGAGTCAAACTTTATCTAAGGCAGTATGCAGAGAGGAACAAGGAACGAGGGTATATAACAGAGAACGAAAGAAAAACGAACTCTTCAAGAAAGTATGAGAATAGTTTTCAAAATTGATGGAATATAAGGAAAAATTTAAAGCAGGAACAAAAAAACATAATGAAGGAGGAGAAAGACAAGAGGAAATTACAGCAAGTTAAGGCGGCCAAGAATTAGGAGCAAAAAAACGTGAAGACTCTGAAGAGTTCAACAAAAAACTGTTAGGAAACGTGATCAAGAACAATTTGAAAGAGTAATGAAAGGAAGTGATAAATTAAAAAATCGGACCTAGTTAGGATGTTATAGCGGCAGCGAATGGTGGATATGGAAGTGAGAGCAAAATAAATAGATAAAGAAAAAATTATGCAATGCGGCTCTCCAACTCAACTTACTTTATATTAGGATGGCATGCGAAGAGATTACAACACATAACACATCATGGACCTAGAGAAACTTTAACACTAAAAAACAATAAAAAAATACAAAGGATCGCTCATATTGGGCAATGGAGTGCTAAGGATCTGAAGTTTGCAGAATCGGATTGAAAACCTCAAGAGAGATTGCAACACGGCACAATCATGGAGAACGATTACAATTCTTAATCTGCATATGATAAGGCCAAGGTCAGGGAAAAATATTTTCATGCAGAACAGGCAAAGCTCATAAACAACTATTGATTCTGGAGTCTGGATGAAAAAGATAGGGCAAAAAAAAAAATCTTTAATCTTGAAATAACATTTGAAGTTCCAACCGCAATTGGCTAATTCTCTTCCCATGTCGAGAAGGAATTATGATATTTCATACTTCATTTTGTCACAACAAGTCCTCATGCAAGTCACACACAAAAGTTTGCTGCTAGGTCATCAAGGTGGATGTCTATACTCCTTCTGGCTGTTCGGGGCGTCCGATCTTGACACTCCCCCGCCCATGTGCTCAGACATGGGTTTATTTCGCCCCACGTAAAATCGGCAAAAATAAATTAATAAAATAATAAAACCCTGGTTGCACCCGCTTATCCAACCAGCGCACACAATATAAAAAGAACATATATATATATATATATATATTACAGTGTAATCAGTGAGGGGATTTTGCAGACTGTTGAGGGTTCAGCCTCCTGATGAGTCGGTGAAACTCCGACGAAACAGTTTGTCACAGCCCCTCGTTTGTTGTCCTCTTCTCTCTCTCTGCCTACGGTTTTACCGTGCAGTTCTGTTTGTAGGCAGAGAGAGAGAAGAGGACAACATTCACCGACTCATCAGGAGGTATATATATATATAGGAGTGCCAGACCGAACGAACGGAGGCCCCTAAGTTGACCCCCGAACGTTCGGGCGTTCGGGTCCCCATAGGGGCCCAAATTTGAAGGGGTTCCAACCACGCAAAAAATTATTTTGGCAGCTAAATATTATTATTTTTTTCTGAATTTTGTTTTGTGAGTACTTTGTGATGTAAGGTATCTCCCTCTTAATTTTGAATCCATTTTGTTGAGCAAAAAAAATAGAATAATCGGCAAAGATGACGGTGTCAAAACTTACTTGCCCATTCACTAATTTGTTTTTTCTCTCTTTTCACTTGAAAAGGTTGTGGTAGTTTAAACCACAAGTACCTCGCCCAGCTATCAAGTTCGAGGCTCTGACTACCGGTAGCCCGAACATTCCCGAGCCTCGAACTTTATTGCCGAGCCTCGGACAACTGGTAGTACATCACGGAAGAAAAAAAAAAGACAAAAAACATACAACTTCCTGCAAAACAAAAACAAAAAAAAAAACAGCCAAAATCATACATGCCCAACGAGAATGAATCTTCCTCGATAAAGAGGAAGATTCATTCTCGTTGGGCATGTATGAGAGAGAGAGAGAGAGGGCGTCAGCCAGTGTCTGACGCCGAGTTTGGTGCACCAAACTCCGCGTCAGACACTGGCTGACGCCCTCTCTCTCT